AGTAACGTTTTAGGTGTAAAACGTTACTGTGAGTGACGTTTTAGGTGTAAAACGTTACTCACAATAACGTTTATTGAGAATCCAATCACGTCAACCCTGCAAATGCAGAATCAAATCCTTCAAATTTAAAACGTTACTCCTAGTAACGTTTTACACCTAAAACGTTACTCATAGTAACGTTTATTCATTTAACGTCGTCAGATCCGTCAGCTTTTCTGTCCGTTGAATTTTTAAAATAAAAATAACCTAAAATGTTACTATGAAGTACATTTATACTACTTTTGTAAAAAACTTAAAAAACGTATTAGTTAGGTGAATTGGTTTTAAATTCAGCTTACTTTGGTCAATGTTTCTATGAGTTATGATATCATGATGATTAATACACCTCATATCCCGACGCTTGCGACATAAATTTTGATTTGCAATTTAGTAACTTATTCACTGCAACATAAATCAGTATAAATATTAATTTGACGTTATAGTGATATGTTATTGTAAATGGACGATGGTGACTGTTATATGAAAAAGACGTTTAAAAGTAATTATAAATATCTTCTCAGAGCGTTGAAGGTGTTGAAAATGTGGATGAAGATCGATTCTTGCCTTAAATCACATACAACTTGCAGCGAATATATTTTAAGGAAAAATTACTTAAATACACAACTTATTTTATTATATTCTCTATCATTTGAAAAAATATAAAAATTCCTACTCTCTCCTATTATCAGATACGTCACTTTACGTGATGTAACGGTCCGATACAATAGTGATGTATCGGAACGTTGAGTGATGTATATGAAATCTAGATGCGATGTATCGGGACGTTGAGGGAGGTATCTGAAACTGGAATCCGATGTATCTGGACGTTTTGGGATGTATCCGGATTCCATCAAATTTAAGAATTTTTTGTAATTTGGAAAAAAAATAAAATTGGATGTAATTAGCCCTTAACATTATGAGATTTGTGTAAAACTCTCCTTAATGTAATATTCAATATCTAAAATGTGGCATCAAGAGATTCTTGGTGACGATTTTTAAAACCTTTTTTAAAAGAATTCTTGGTAATTTTATAGAGCTAAGGTCACTAACTTGACCTTGGTTCTTGGGTACTGTTCATCACGTTGGAAAAAAAATATATTGAATGATTTCAGCTATTTAATAAATTCATGTGGAATAAATCTATTTAAAATTAGCGTAGACTTTTAATTTTAATTCATTATACCTTCCCACAATTGTAAATAATGCACGTTGATTAATTTGGAATAAACTTCACCATTAATACCAGAAAATTAAGATCTTGCTTCTAAGATAGGTTATAAAATTAGCGTTGAGTTTCAAATTAATTAATTAATTCATAATTTCTAAATTTTTGTGATAACAAATATTCTCCGTTCACGTTTGCTTGTCATCGTTTGACTTGACACACCATTTAAGAAAATAATTATTAATATAAGTATTTTACCAAATTATCCCTATTAAATTATGTTTAGTATTAAATCTTAGAAAATGGATTCGAGAAAGCGTATTTAATGTTGAGGGTAAAATATGGAAAAAATAATTATCTTTTCTTGATATGTCAAAAATAACAAGTGAAAATGAAAATATATTATAGAAATAAATAACAAGTAAAAGTGAATGAATGGAGTAATAAACAAATCAGTCACATTATATGTATTATAAAACCACTTGTTAACGCCATGTTATTTAGCAGTGAGTATTTGTTAACACTTGGTCTTCACAACTCTCAAAACTTTAATCATGTCGAAAAATACCATAATTTTAATTATGTTTATTGCCTTTTGCCTTTGTCATATTGACTCTACATCAAATTATGTGTTGCATGGGAATGCAATGAATCACGATTACCAATAAAAATGATTCACAAAATCCAAGAAAGTTACTGGTTGACTGTTTATGCAGTAAATGTGATTGTGCGTGCCCTTGTGATGCATGTCCAGAAATATGTTGAATTCAATCGGCAGAATATATGGAGAATCCGTTAAAGTGATAAACGTACTACATACCTCTTATTGGAAAAGATACCATTGATACTTCTATATAGTACGAAGTGCTATATCAATTTTCTTGAAATTCTAATGGTTGTATTTTTTCAATTTGTAACAATTTGAACCGTCGTTATTTAGGAAAAGCAAAACTTTGGAAAAATATTGGGGCTACTTTCCCGCCGAAGTGAGCTAGATGCCACTAGGGCGGCAGTGCCACATCGGGAAAAGTAGACGCCAGAGCGGGATAGGCGAGACAAAATGTAAATAACGCGAAATCTTATTTTCTTCTTCTTCCACAAACACCTAAAAGAGGCGAGGAACACCCCAGAAGCCCTCCCAAGGCTGCTCTAGGCTTGGGAAGGGAAGAGAAAGAGAATTCTAGCGTGGGGATGGCGTTAACTTGCGGATTTCCAGTCAAAATCCACCGTCCCGTCATCCGGAAATCAGAAATTTATCTACAATCCCTCTGCGAATGCTTGGCGCCCAAGTAGGTTAGGTTTATTAATTGAGTAGTTATAAATTTGTTATTCACTGCGTGGTATAGGGAATTTGACGATAGAATTCATGCTTAGGCTTTCGTGCACCAAAACGAGATGATTATGCGTATATCCCTAAGTGTTACACCAAACGTATACCGTATGAATTAAGTCTTATCTAGTGAACTAGGGTTTGAGAATGGTTGTGATTTCCTATTTGGTGTGATGTATGGTTGACCGGGATGGTATGATATGCATGTGTATGAGCAAAGTATAATAGTAGTAACGAACCTAATGAATTAATTATGAACAATGCATGCCAGGAACTTGAGTACTTGACTATAGGATGTGTGTATTGTACGTTATGAATGTGATTGTGCTTGTATTGTGATACATGGGATTGGGTGTCACGTACCGACAGACTAACTTGCATTGGATCGGGTGTCACGTAACGACACACTAACTTGCATTGGATCGGGTGCTACATTCCAGCACACTAACTGGGATCGAATGTCACGTACCGACATACTTACTGGATCGGGTGCTATGTTCCGACACACTAACTTGGATCGGGTACCACGTACCGGTACACTAACAGTTTGAGTATGGGTTCCATGAGAGGACCATTGACTTGTCATATATCTGGAGCTACTTGATTTGATGATGTGAAATTGGACATGTTTCCTGAATTTATTATTGGAGT